TTTAGGCTTTACACTATCTTTTGTGACAAGCTGTTCAGACCGTGAGCTGAGTTTGCCCTCCTAGCATGTTGTATACAACCACAACAGGAGACTTGGGTCGGCTCACCTTCTAGAAAAGTGACCACAGCTGTAATCAAACATGCATGAACTGAGGTACAAACAGCAGACAGACACAGGTCGTGTGTACCAAGACAAGGAGGTGGCTAAATAATGCATATATCTTTTAAACATCTTGCTGTATGATTAGGAAGCGTTGCTGCCATACAATATTGATAACTATCCCCAAGCTAACGGGCTGCTCTGCATAGAAATGTGATTTGCAAACTGCATTTTTTTTCCTTTTTTTTTAAATGGCAGCTAATGGTGTCTTTACTCAAGCTCAAGGGCATTAAGCTGAATTGAGTATGCTTATAAAACGTGCTGCACAGACTGTACCGTGGGTCAGCTTAAGCGCTTTAAAGGACGGTGGCTGAGAAATACTGGAAGTGATTATGATTTCACTTCGATAAAAAAAATAAATACCCTGAAAGCTAACGCAAAGGCTGCATTGGAAATACTGTGCCTGCATTCTTCAACAGTGAGTTTGAAAGCTCCGTTGTAAGTTTATCTCACTGTCGAAAAAAAAACCTTGATTCTCGGCCGGTGCTTTTGAACGCTTCCTTGAAAAGGTTATTACCTACTGGTAATGGTGTATGGAGAAACCCTCCTCTGAAAGTAAAGTAATAGTTCCCTTTCAGAGACAAGGCCGAGCAGGAGCCGCCAGAGAGCAGCATGATTAGAAGGTCAATAAAGCCTGAATCACGCTCACACAAGAATTGAAATGGATCGCTGGGTCAATATCACATCCTCGCAGCTATTATTTTTAAAGCAGTGAACACTCATTACGCATTTGCATGACTGCGGTGAATAATGAGTTCCTGCTGGCCATCCATAATATCTGTCCTGCATTTTGTCTTTTGTGTAAAAAAAAAAAAAGTTTATTTTCTCAAAATCTGCTGCATCCTATAATTAGAAGAGAACATTTGTTTCTTGGACTTTGGCAGCAGTAGAACACCCCGACTACTTCCTGCTACAACACACACACACCAACCCTTTGCATTCGCCTCACTTTTACTATAATCATCCCGCTGATATTCTAACCCTATTATTAAACCTGTTGTAACCTGATATTTTTTACACCTTTGCTTGCACTGGTTATGCAATGTCAGGTCTAATTTGTGTGGCAGAATCTGCTTTTGAAGTTTGTGAATTGTAAATTTCCCCTGAATAGACGCTTAGTGCTGTGCTGGTGGTTTGCAGTGAGTTTTATCACAAAAAAAAAAAACAACTCATGTGGCTGAATGAATGGATGAAACACAGATGAGGGTGGTGAGACTAGTCCAAAGCAGTAATGTACTGTTCATACGAGCTTTAAAATAAATACAGTACTCCATAGAGCGAAGAAGTAGTTGAGAATATTTTTTTTCTTGTTTCTCATGATGAGCCACAACTTTCAAAAAACAAAAATGATAATAACTCTTGGGCTGCAAGGTGGATCAGTGGTTAGCACCGTTGCCTCGCAGCAAGTCCTAGTGAGGACACCTGGGATCTTTCTGTGTGGAGTTTGCATGTTCTCCCCGTGCAGCGTGGGTTCTCTCCGGGTTCTCCGGCTTCCTCCCACAAAAACATGTTGAGGTTAATTGGTGATTCTAAATTGTCCGTAGGTGTGACTGTGAGTGTGCTTGGTTGTCTGTCTCTAAGTGTAGCCCTGTGATAGACTGGGGACCTGTCCAGGGTGTCCCCTGCCTTCACCCTGAGTCAGCTGGGATAGACTCCAGCCCCCCACGACCCTAGTGAGGATTAAGCGGTGTATAGATGATGGATGGATGGAATAAAAACTCTTGCACCTTTAATCTAATCTTAATTTGAACCAAAAACCAAATTTTCACCTTAAAATTGAATAATTTCTATTGCGGGGATCAGCTTGTGGCACCGTATTGGAGGTGAGTCTCCACAGTGCCTGAACACATTTCTGTTTCCACTGTGTTCCTAATCTACACACACACACACACACACACACACACACACACACACACACACACACACACACACTCACACACACCTACCTACACACACCCCTACACACAAACACACACACACACACACACACACACACACACACACACTGTCACACACACACTGTCACACACAAACACTGGATTATAGTAAAGTGTTAGTGGCAGGATTGTTGGGATGTTAAATCCTCGTGATGTTTCAGTGTGAAACAATCAGCGGTACAACACAGCCATGACTCATCCCATAACTGGGATTGGGAGATGTGAAGTAATGGAATCGTTCTTCAAAACCAGCCTGCATGGATTTATCACAGCTTGACTTCCACAATTACCGCTGTCGTCGTAGAACCCCGGCGCCTCACGACGTCGGTTCAAACTGAATATGTATCACTGCTGATGGAAATAACTGCATTTCACAGTTTGTGCTTATTTTTCTTTTTACAGATTCCACTGAGTCACGGTAGATTCGATGTTTTGAATGAACCAAAGAGCAAAATCAATAATCAGATATCACTGTACTTTCTTGTAAAGAGATACAGAGGATGCACATTTAATGCAACCACAATTCAGAGGCATTAATATGATCTCCCACCACAAGTACGAAATGAACTCAGGCAGGACTGGAGATGAGCTGCGGGGAGAACAGGAGTAAACAGAGGAGATGACTGTGGCTGCCTTGCTGCTATTTGGAGCTTTTAGTCACTATCCAGTTCATCGACGGGACCTCCACTCACCAGCCAATCACACGAGAGCGAGCTAGGACCCCGAGCCTCTTTTAGCCCACAATCAACACCCTGCAGATGCTGTCACAGTCGAACACAACCCACATGGGAAAAAAAAGTGAGCTGATACTGTCCCTGGCCTTCGCTATACCGGTGATATAGGTTTCTCTTCAGGTACATAATGAAAATAGGAAGAGTGACTTTTTTTTTCCTTCTCAGACTTACAACACTGTCGGCCTTTGGGAGGAAATGTGAGAACATACTGCAACACCAGGCAAAAGTCAGAAATTGAACCATGTTTTTTTGACGCCCTCGCTCTGTGCTTTTTTGTTTGTGCCGAGTAAAAGTCAACACGTTCCCAAATATCCAGGGAGGAGTTGCTCGGCGAAGGACTATCACTTCGCTGACAGCCGGGACACCAGAGGTTGAGATAGCTGCTGGCTGTTAGTATCTCCTAAATCTCTGAGCAGCGGTGTGTGACCGGTGCGTGAAACCTTGGAGATGGTTGTAACCAACTGTCTTCTGATAAAAGTTCTAGCTTTTAAACTTTAATCTCCAATTTAACATCCACCAGCCTGAATAAATGTGTGTGAGGCCCTGCAGGAGAAACTAACGATGGTTCAGCTGCAGACGGAAGATTGTTCTCTGCTGGATATTTAACCGCCGCGATATTTTTCCTGTGAGCTATTCCCAGCACTACCTAATGAAAGCAATCACACGAGGCAGAGAGAGAAACACTTGGTGTGACATACAGAAAGTGATCCTGCCTGCTGCCCCGTGCTCTGATTTTATTCTATAGTCGCAGCATAAAAACACATTTATTCGGGTCAATTAATATTTTAGCAAGGACATTTTATTTTATTTTATTTAGAAAGACAGAATTTTTCGTCTGCTATATTAAATATGCAGTAAGTTTCTTTCTCTGCAGTCAATACCTGTACGATAAAAAGTCTTTAAATACATAGTTGGCTGCAGTGTTGGTTTGTTAGCTCAACATGTAGAGTCGTGCATGACCTGAAAATGAAAATATATTGAACCGTTTTGCTGTTATGAAGAGGTTAGATCACTCAAAGCCTAAGCATGGTTTACAAGGAAGTACTCATCACCACTGTGCTGGGCTACATTATACTATATAACTTTTTTTTTCTAAAACCAAGCATATACAGTATGATTCCAACACCAAGTGTAGAAATTTTAACCACTCATATTTTTGGCTTCTCCAACTTCAGTGTTTTTTTTTTGTGTTACACCACAGTATCATTATTAAATTGAAGTTCACAAAGGATTGATTGTATTGATTTCTTCAGATCCCACACCAGAACGTCAATGTGGCCTAAGACAGCGTCCAGCGCTTCAGCTTTGACAAGCCTGCTGACATCCATCACAAGACAGAACAAGGCCTCGTCAATCAGGACACACGGACCAGGAAAGAGAAAAAAAAAAAAACAGGAGGAAGGAGTAACCGGGGTGAAGGACATTTTAGAGAACGTAAGCTGATTCTATTTAACTGTGTGTGTGTGTGTGGTGCACAGGTGGGTAATCAGACAGCAGCATATTGCCCGATGGCTCCATCCTCCCTGCATTGACAAGACGAGTCATTTCTGAAGCTCCCGGGGAGCTAAGATGCAGGTGAGCCGGGGGCAGAGCACAACAGATGTTTTGACAGAAGGAGGGAGGAAGGTGCATGGATCTGAATCTGACCCAGACACAAAACACCTTCAGAAAACACAAAGGGTATTTTGTTTTTTTTTAAAGTCTTTACGTCATTTGTTTAGAGAGTATCCCTTTGTGGAAAAGAGTTGAGTGATTTGAGGTCATATTTAGATCTCGGCTGCTGCAAATGCAAATGAGTGTGTGAAGCATTTCCTACTGACTGAGCACATTGCTGTTTGCATGCATCCCCCCCTGAAGATTTCCATTTAAATTAAAATAAAAAGCACATAATATTCAGAATCTTGTCAGGATCAATAACCCTCTTAACATTGTGCACATAATTTCCACAAACAAGCTCTTGGGAATGTTTGGAGCTCCTGAAATCTCAGTCACCCAGTCAGAGGGCGTGGCAGTGAGGGGGGCTGATATTCAAGATGAGAAAATAAACCTTAATTAGGAGGAAAACTTTAATTACAGAATGAATTTATTCCAATTAACAAGATACACAGCATGTTGGGCTTTTCTCCAGCGCCCAGGCAGACACTCATACACTTATCACCAGGAAATCCACTGAACACAGTATTGCATGTTGTGTGCTTTCTTTCTTTTTTCTTTTTTTTGTTGCATACAACATGCAGCACATGTTAAAACATTAAATTCTCCATTGCATTTGCAAGGCAGGAGGGTATTTCAAAAGCAGCAAATACAAAGACTTTGCCACCAACATGACAAAGGATGCTGCTTGACAAACAGTGCAACTACTGAGATTACAACAGTGCGTGACTGAATACTTAATAAACAAAGAGGCTTCAAATACCTCTTGGAGATGTCTTGGTTGGCATTTTTAAAAAAAGGCCACAAGAAATAAAGTGAGCCTCAGCAGTCACCTGCAGGGTTACCTTCTCGCACAGTGACCGCTCCTCTGTTCTAAATCTGAAAACAGGGGGGGTCTTGTTTAGGCAGTTGATCATCGCATCGTCCGTCTCCATCTGATCAGGAGGTAACCAGAGCGCAAAAGGTCCTCATCCATCAGTAGGCTCCAACAATGACTGCCTCCGTTTCTTTGGACGGTCTCCTGTCCGTTACCAAAAAGTTTATCATCCCCTCGGACTTTATGAGAAGGTTGCAGCCCAGGAAAAAAATGCCAAACACCACCGTGAGGGACAGGACGCACATGACGGCGATCTGGACCACCCTCATGATGAAGAGGCTCCTCTCATCCGGAGCGGCCGCCACAAAGCCGTTGTCGGTCACCACGGATGAAAAGTTGCAGCAGAAAAACTCCTCGGTCTTGTTGAATAGTCCTCCCTCCGTTTGGTTGAACCCGGTGTTGTTCATCTCCACTTTTTCTTTTTTTCCCCTTTATTTAAATCAAACTTTCAGTGCGCGGAGATGCGAAAGGTGAAAAGATGGGAGGTGGAAAGACGCGCCCGGCACGATCCCACAGAAATAAATCATCAAGTGGAAAGTGAAGATGAGGAGGCGCCGAGTTGCAGAAGTTCCGTCACACCAGCCAGCGCTCTTCTGGAGTTTAACCAGCTGCTTTGGAATCGCATTACTGGATGTTTCATGTGTTGTGTTGCCAGTTTCAGAGCGAAATGAATCCGCCAAGCCCGCGGTTAAATAGCCAGACTGTATCTGCTGGAGAGGCGGGAGGACGCAGCAAGAGCGCCACCATACGACCACGGTGCATGTGTGGCATGAGTGTGCATGTATGTAGGACATTTTGTACCATGTCTGTGGTGTGTGTGTGTGTGAGTCTTTGCAGTCTGCTGTGTGCTGGAGTGTGTGTGTGTGTGTGTGTGTGGTGCATGGTGCATGCATTAACGCACAGTGGTCCATTAACAGGTTATCTGCTGAACCTGTGTCAGCATGCATCTAATATTACATCAGACGTTATAAATAACAGCCTGAGCTTCACTTCTGCATAAAAATAACTAGTAATTGTCAACACAGTGTGAGCATCATAAGCTTTACTGTGTTTGCACTTGTTGCTTTGATGCTGCAAAAGACTGCATGAGATCATAAAAGTTCATCTCTGTGTACCAAAGTTACACATTTATCTATTAGAATAATCCTTTGCTGCTATAAAATGTCTCCCCTTTTGCTTTCCTTAGGGTTGGCACATGGCACCCTTCCACCACTGGAGCACACCAGCTCACCCACAACTTTGCTCAAGCACTGTAATGTTCTCCATGACGGCAAGTTGTAATATTTGATTGATTCAGTGATTTTAATTTTTAATTGATGTTTTTTTTATTGGTCATTTGATGGGCTGTAAGGTGGCACAGTTAGTAGCACCGTTGCCTCGCAGCAAGAAGGTCACCGGTTCGCGTTCCGGTGGGGGCACCGGGATCTTTCTGCGTGGAGTTTGCATGTTCTCCCCCGGTTCTCTCTGGGTTCTCCAGCTTCCTTCCACAAGGTCCAAAAACATGCTGAGGTTAATTGGTGATTCGAAATTGTCTGTAGGCGTGAATGAGAGTGTGCTTGGTTGTCTGTCTCTAAGTGTAGCCCTGTGATAGACTGGTGACCTGTCCAGGTGTCCCCTGCCTTCACCCTAAGTTGGCTGGGATAGACTCACTAGGCTCGCTATTACACTGGACAAACCAGATGCATGGTTTGAGTGTGACAGCTTGCAAACACTTGACCAAATGATAAACACTTTTGAAATGATAAAAATAGTAAAAGTAATTGGAGAAGACAAAAAGAGCGAGAGAGAGAGAGCGAGAAATGCAGTGTACAGTAACATTACAACAGTAAAAAAAGAGGCAGTTTATCAGATTCAGCATGTAAGCTACAAAGCAAAGGCAACACGATCAAGCAATCAACCAGTTCAAACTATTCATGTGAGCATTTGTTTTGATTTTAGCCATTGTTTGAGTCCCTTGTTAAAAACATATCTCTCGCTCTCTAATTTTAGATTATTGGGTAAAGAGTTCCATTAATTTGCCCTGTTCACAGGAAGAGCAGACTCACTGAATGAAGTCTTGTATCTTGGGACAAAACTGTCGCCACTGGTGGAGGCTCGTGTGGTCGCTCTGTGGTCGCTCAGATGTCTGGTGGCTAATTCAGACAACAGCAGTGACACATGGTTATTTAGACATTTAGAAAACTATTAAAGGGTACTAAAATTCATAAAATGAAATCACAGACCAATTCTAAAAAAAGAATTATGGTACCCAAATCTGCACCCCACAAGTTGAGAGGTTCCTTAAGTTTGTCATTTATATGAAAAACGTGAAATCTGAATCTGTGTTTTTGAGTCTGTCATCAACACATTACTCATGATGTCCACATTATTCCATCTATGCAGGGTTGTGCAACAGCAGGTCATTCCAGATGTCCCACCCCCCCAGCAATGCTTTCCACTTCCTCCAAGGTATGTTCCCAGGCCAGATGAGATATGTAATTCCTCCAGTGAGTTCAGAGTCTACCTCGGGTTCTCCTCCCCGTTAGATGATCCCACAATGGAATCCATAAGGTGTTGTAAACAGATAGCCTAACCACCCCAAGTGCTGCTTTTAATGCTAAGGAGAAGCTACTTTTCTCCCTCTGGATGACCAAGCTCCTTTCCACAACAAGACTCTCATTCCAATCGCTTCACATTCAGCATCAGCCCGTCCCAGCCACTCATGATTTGCCCTCTAGCATATAACCCCCCCACACGTACACAGTAATAAAATGAAAAGCAACCCACCGGAGGGGATCTGAAAACTGGTGAGTTCCAAGAAATGTTTTCAAAAATGATGTTTTTTTTCTTGTTTTAGTGCAGTTTATTTATTAAAACCCTATCTGCCTTTTTTAACAGCAGACATTTTCACGTGTTACTAATAACACTAGGACTGACTAATGAGTTTTTCCTGCTGTGACGTAAAAATATCTGGTTTTGGCAGCAAACACTACATTCCTTGATAAACAAGCAAAAGTCCACAGGAATATGGGGTATAGATGGTGGAAAACATCCTACATAGACATGATTTTAGGCCACAAAGGTGTCCTAGATATCAAAACAAGTCCAAGTGCAGCTTAGCATTTCCCCAAAAACATTTTCTAACTAATTTTCCAATCCATAAAGCTATCATCATGAAGTTTTCCCTCCCTACTTGAACTGAAGAGGCACCCGAGCACGCACTGACACCTAGTGGATATTTTGAATCCGGTGTGAACACGGCGTTTGAACATCTGCATATTACGATCGGAAGCCAGATTTATCTCGCGGAGCGCACGCTGCAGTGTTCGTCAGCTGTTGCATTACAGTCGAGTTTGGCCAAACAGCAATAAAAGCTTCACATGGAAATGCAGAGCACATTCTGCGGGTGTACTTCAATGACAGTATATCACAGTTATCATCATTCTCTGAGAGTTAATTAAACGCTGGGCCTAGGATTGATCTACTACAGCGCCCGCAGGCAAATGAAACACTGAAGGCCTCTCCTCAATAGCAGCAGATGGCAGCATTGTTCAACATGATTCACTAAAAAGTCTGCTTCAAAATAGCTGTGAGGTAAACAACAATGTCATTCTGAAAGATTAAATGAACACCCCCCCCTTCCTCATAGATGCACATGTACACCGAGGCGTGTGTTATTTATGCTGCACATTTCATTGTTTATTTACCCTTGCCACTATACTTCAACTGTCCTTCTGTTGTTTTGCGGAACTTGGAAACAGACATCAGCAGAATGAATACTCAGTCAGAGTTGCTGATTATGATGGCAAAACTAGAAAGTCAGACAAGAGAGTGTTTCTACAAATCTGCAGTAGCGCCGTCACTCCACCATGCCAATACAATTATCTTAATTACTTCACAGAGGAAGGCCCAGAGTCATTTTTGCTTTGCTTGAGATGCTAGTAAGGCTCAAAAGATATGTTTTTTTGTTTTTTTTCAGAGCTGATACCAGTGCTTGTTATTAACATTCAGGAGGATTTGTAACCGTTTTCTGGAACGAGCGCATTTTTGCAGCAAAAATTTAAAGCTCAAAATGCAGAATAACACAAACTCCAACAGAAACACTCAGTTTAAAAACATTTGTTTACTTATGTTGCACATGTTTAATTAAAAGAGAACTTTTCAATATTTGTCCATCAGTGTTGGTAAGATATTACCCGGGATGTGTAACCAATCAGATAGCGCTGCGTCTGACCCAAGATAGAACATTTATTCATTTACACTGAACAAAATGGTCTGATTTAGAGATAAACTTACAAATCTTACTTCTATTATTACAGTTTAAAAACTACATTTAGCCAATTATGCACCAAACATTGATGAGCTGTTCAGCTGATGACAAATTCTCAATCATTGAGTTCACACCCACCGAAAACTGTTTTTTTTTTCTTTTTTTTGTTTTTAAAGGGCACTGATCAGATAGTGTTACCAGCACAGAGACACTCCTTTGACCGGCGACTATAAAAGGCTGCCTCAAAATGCAGCTTTATTCGAATAACACAATGCCACAGATGATAAGAGAAAGACAAGAACATGCTGTTGTGCTGCTCTGGATGGATGTGATCCAGAATGTCCGTCCAACTTTGCCAAGCCCTTCAGAAAGACGAGGACAAC